CTGTTGTTTTTTAACAACGTCTGTCCTGTAAGCGTTCAATATCGCATCATTTCGACGGCCCTACCGAGCAATATGATCTGCTTATTTAAGTTTTAATGGGTCTAATACGTACTAATTTTTAATTAAATTGTTTCTTTTTGTGTGAATAAAACATATCTTACCTAGATGCCACTTCATTTCGTTAATTTAGCTTTGAGAATTTGACCAGACGACTTTTTCTGTTCACAACGGGCTGTTCGATATTGAAGGTCTCACACAAGGAAATAATTTCACTATATGTTACTATAAAGCTTTGATTAAATTAATTTATCAACTGGACTCTCAACAGATAATTCATGAAATAGAAAATAAAGATTAATGCTTATACAAAAATTTGAAATAAGAAAATTTACCCCTTATGCGTTCTTTTAAGAAAGAAAATTGTGAGTAAACATACCTACCCCGAAAAACACGTGGGTTTCAGATGTTGACAAACAGCGTACACACCATTCAGGAAGCTGCATCACACGCATCTTAAAAAGGGTTAATACTCGTATACGTAATATAAAGTCAGCGTTCAATAAAACGTCAAGATAATGAATACTAACATTCTCTAGATTTTTTTTAGGTATTTCATTAAAGACTATTTATAAGCTATATAATAAGTATTAATATAAATGGATTGTACATGAATAAGATAAAATCATATGTTCTGTGTAAATTTTATAGAATCTATGTAAATTTGCTTTTTATTAAGTCACATGCTGTAGTTGTTTTGTACAGATTGCTTTTGAATTTTGAAATTATCTAATACGCTTTCTTGCATGTAAAACCATTCTCTGCACATGTTTTCAATATCACGAATAAAGAGACAATATACAGTGAACTTTTTGAAAATTGGTGGTCAAAAATGGGAAAAAAAACCCATACATTTCAATTTTTTTTTCTTTTTGAAAATTGGCGACCATTCTGATCCACGAATGAAATATATTCTTTGAATAGAATTTCAGTGACACGTTGAACATCAAGATTATTTAGTAAATTATAAAACTCCTCTCCAAGGTCAAGGGTACAAATGTAAAGAATTGACAGTGGTTTCCAATGATGAAAAAATTCCTTATAAGTTACATAATTTTCCCTTTGTTAACCAGAAATGGGGAAACAGAAGAAAAGATGAATCAATTTATACAGAAGCGTAATTGCTAAGTATGTATACTCGCTTTACAATATAATGACAAGAAAATAAAAGTGAAAACAAAAAGTAAAACAACATAAGTTAATAAATAATGTATAAAACTGTATAGGAATACTCTACCGCTCCAAATGCAGAGCTTTGGTCGGCTGTTGCAGAGTCTGGGGATGCAATATTCTTTAGAAAACCATGTAAATCCATTTTGTGCAATGCTGCCAAATTGGGTTTAAATTTGGCGATTAGAATAGACATAGACATGTGCAAGTAGTACATCGCTAAAGTACCTTTTTCTATCCAAGTCCTTTGAAAACGAACGAAATCGTCTTACTTCTATGAAACAAAATATTTAAAAAAAACGGAATAAAAATAGGTCTAAAGAAAGAAACTTTTCAACCATTGTTGATTCTGAAAAGGCAATTCTGTCAAATTCTAGCAATAATAAGACTTTTTACTTTTATGGATTTTCTTTTTGGAAGCACATTAGAAGTTGAAAACATTTGAAATATGATTTAATGTAGAAGTTATTAAAAATTACGCTTGAGAATACTTTAGTTAAGTAGATAAAAAGTAACTTGCCCAACGTGTCGTCTAAATTACGTGTTAAATTTTACGTTGATGTATCTGTGTAATTTAAAAAGTTTCGGACAATTTCTATTCATCGTTTACGATCAATTCAAAAACAGAATGCATAAATTATCCAGTATCAAAAGACATGGTCTAGTTTCAAGCTTTTTGGCCTTTTTAAGTATAAAAATGGCTGTGAATAAAAAGTAGAAATTTTTATCCTTTACTGAATTTTATCCTCAAAACTGTTAAAAGCTATGTCAAAATTTGTTCATTCCATATATCCTCAACCTTTTAAAACTGATATCAAAGGGTTAGATGTTGAGCCTTAGAATTACACCCAATACATGTAAAGGGTCCTCAATCAATGCACGTTAAAAACCCATCATTTTGTTTTCTAAAAAAAATAAAATGAACACATACATTTAATAAAAGATTATTATTTTTCTTCTTTTATATGAAAAATTGTGCAAACTTTATAAAGATAAGTTTTCTAACATCAATGATTGTTTATCAACGGCACTGACTACATATGTAGGTCACATGACATGGCACTCCAAAACAGTGATAAGGTCCTGGACAGACCTTGCTGATGGCGGAACAATTGAGATAAAGAAGCAGTTAAATCTCAGCTATTTTTCTGAAGTAAAACAAATTCAACCGAGATTTTAAGGAAATTATATCTATCGTGTCATAAAAATGTATTTTTAAAATTGTAACCATTTAAATTTCATATATTTTAATCTGTTATACGTAATTGATACATGACTCTAAAAGTAGATTTTAAAAAATCATTTATACACTTTTATTGTGTTTCATAATATCTACGTGTATAATTGAATATGTTAATGATAGAATACACCGTATACATGCATATGCACAAAGAACTCATTATAAATGTTCACCATCTTTTTATTTTCCGTAACTAACGTTCATATTTAGGTAATGTTAATCGAAATTGATGTATCAATTACCATTTAATTACCATTTAATGATATGCTTGTCGACATATGAAATCCAAACCGTTATAAATAGTAACTTTACACACATGCACGAAATATTGCCACACTAAAATCTGCAGATATATTCTTACTTTGACTTAATCTGAAATTCTAAAATAATTTTATCAAAGAACATCATGAGATACGAGAAATGTTTGAATATTTTGGGAGAATATAATATTTATTGTACATTGTATATTAATTTATCAAATTTACATTAAAGCTAATTATGTAGCATTTGAATTGTTTAAAATGCTATGTTGCAAAAGAATGCTGTGGTTTTATCAAATTTCGTTGGCATAAGTTTCGTGGATTTTGTAAAACAGACAGACGTTTTTAAGGATACGTAACTTCGAGGACAAAAGCATTTTCTATACAAAGGAATAACATAAATCTTAATTCAAAGAACATTTAATTTCGTGGATCTGCTCAACAATGAAATCTTCGAAATTTGGGGTTCAACGAATATTGATGAAACCAAAGTTTCTTTTTAACAAATATTAAAAAGAAATTTCTTAATACTATTATACGGATCTTTAGGCGAAGTTGAACTATTTTCTAATTCTAATGAAGAATAGCTTTTGGTAAATCGTTGCTACAGTATCTGCTACGCTATTTGAGACAAAAAGATGTGTGTTAAAGTGATTTAAGTATCTGATACTTGTAAAGTCAATATTTACCGCTTCCATATTCATAATTTGTTTTATTTTATACTTGGTGTGAGAAGAGGAATATTATTATTATCATTTTGTTTATTTCAACAATATCTTTTTTTTTTTTGTTAATTTTACAATTTGTTCTTTCATCTCAGCCATCAAAATCTTAAATTACTGTTTACATGGCTTCTAGAGTGTGCATTGTAAAATTTGCCAATTAAAAATTACATTTCGTAATTTCATAAAAAAACTAATTTTTACAAGAGAAATCACAAAATTTGCGTCTCACTATTTCCACTAAGTATATGGTATTATGTTTAGAGTAGAATAAAAATGAAGAATATATCAGATTGTTAAATTGATTGAATTTAAGATTTTAAAACCAGTCAATGAGTTTCTTTTAAAATCAGAGTAATTCAAACCTAGTGAAATAAAAAAATTAAATAGATTCAATCCTTTTCTTTTTTAAAGATCGTCTGGTTGTTCAATATATGGATGAATAAATCACGGTGCGTTAAATTTTACATATGATTAATTAAGTATTGTTAAAAAAATATCAGGTCATGATAACCTTTTTTTCGAAAGTGGTAAATTTTGCGGATGCTCGGGACGGGTTAGATACAATTCATATTACACTTTCGAGAGTGTTATAAATATTTAAAATGAAGTTGAACTAAGTTACATACTACAATATCAAAATTCAACATTTTATGGTTATGTACCGCATATATTAAACGTTAAACGGGGATTGAATCATGTGAATAGTAATATTCCATAATAAAAAAATACAAATTATTCAAAATTGAATAGAGTTTGAAAAAAAGTGATAGAAGCACTGGTTTTACGTTTATAAAATAGCCCGATGCAACAGCAAAATATTGCATTAAACATGCTTCTTCCAGCTGTTAGGTTTCCCAATGTAAAAGGGTACGTTACAGAAATAGGACGTACTCATGTACGGGTCTAGGCCCCATGATATTACGAAAGTGGGCATGACATTGGTAAAGCAATTGATAACTGTATGAGTTGTAATTATATCTAATAAATTTACAAATAAAATGTGCATATTTACAACTGAAATCAGAATGGCAACAAACTCATAGTACAAATTTAATAAAGTAATAAACAAAAGCCAAAAAACTCTCTTAAGTTAAGTCACTCCTGAAATTTGTTATATCAAGGATTTTTTGAGAAGTATATTTTGGATAAGTACTCATAAAGTGTAACTCAAAATTGCAAAGAAAATAGGGGGTCAGTGTGCATCCTACTGATCTACGGTACATTTAAATTGACCTCTTTGCACTTAAATTTCATCTCTTTGGTTCATTACTTCAACCCTTATTATATTTGATTAGATGTAAGCATGGCAATCAATCTAATCTAATTTTACGTAAAATAGTTTGAATAATATCTATCATTAAACAAATCTTGCAAATTAATGCGCGTAAATTATTGCGTGACCTTTTTGCACTAAAAAATAACATATTTGGGGTATTAAAAAACTTAATAGGCAATAAAAATTTTTTTTATATCAAACTTTTTTCGACTTGGGTGCTGATCAGTCACAAGTATCGAGTAGTTAAAAATAATGAAAGAAAAAGGTGGGGACAGTGACTGTGGATACATTTTCATTGTATACAGTTTCGTTAAAAACTCAACGATTTATGAAGGCTAGGGGGTCAAAAGATTTTTTTTATTATTTTTTTAATAACCACCAGGTATAATTTTTTATAGCCATGATATCTCAAGCTGTCAACTATCATTTAATTGGCATAGATAAATTTCATAAATATTAGTTAAAAAATTCATCATTTTATGGAGCTATTCTTCTAAAGGAGATCAAAACAGTCTAAAAATGGGCAAAACCAGCCAGCCCTTTAAAGTTTTCATCTTTATCTTTCTATATTACTACAATTTTGCCTTTAATTCCTCGGTAATCCTGTATTCAGGAGAAAACTCTATGAATTCAGTATTGGTTATATCAAGAGGGCAGGTATAAGTCGTCAATATTCCGCCTTGGACTCTCACCAAGACAGTTCTGCTGTCTTTGATGTCCAATGATAACGTAAACTCATCCGAAAATACGCTCGAATTGGCACCAGTGGAAACTCCTTTTTGCCACCTTCCATTAACGAAAGAGTTCAAAACGATTTCAAATGATGGATACCGTGGATTGAAATGCAGAATGATATCGTTCCTTTCACCCATCTGTTGTCTAAAATTTATGGCCATTCCGCTAAAAATTAAATAAGTAATGTAAATATAATATAAATTCATAACAAGAGAGAGAGAGAGAGAGACTTACCCTGGTTTGTAATTTCCTTTCTTGTTATACTTCACTCTGAATGTGATGTTATGGCCAATCTCTATTTGATGTCCAATATGTTTTAGACTGATCTATTTAATCATAAAATGATAAATGAATAAACTCTATAAACTTTTTAGTTGAATTCTTTGATTATTATATAATTATGACATTAATTTGACAACTGTTGCATACAATTAACGTAAAGTTTAATTAGGAAATAATTAACAAAAAGAAATCAAATAATTGATACCTTGAATTATTTAAAGACATTCATTTGATTAGTTAGAGTAGATAATTTAATGATAACAACAGTTTTTTTTATTCTATGATCCATCAGATAAATTTATGCTCTCATAAGTACAAGCAAAGAGATCCTCATCAAATGAGTTTATGTAAAACTTTAACAATTATTACTATCACGTTTTGCAAACCAAGTAGTCAGAAGATACTGACATATCCCATCTTTGTATCTTCATCTTCTTCTTTTATCCTCTGTGAAAGTTTCCATGTTCTAAATTCAAATAAACAAATATATAAAAGCAAAATATTTCGATGAAAATTACATTTAAGGATACCCACTTAAACAATATCAAGACTCTTCATAATCTGTATGATACTTCGAGTTTGCAAGAAAAAAGTCAATTAAATGATATTAGAAGTGAAAAGTGATGGAGAAAATTATTTTTCCGATACTGTACCACTTTTCGAGTTTCTTTTTAAAATGTCTTTTTTTCGCAATTAATGAAAAGGAACAAGGAATGAAAAAAGAACGCACTACCCGTATGTGGATATAGCTTTTCATTATTTATTGAAACTCATTTCTTAGAAAATTTAACAACTATCTACTGAGGTGTATTGAAGAAGAGAAGATTAGACTCCTAATTCTTAAGTTAAAATCTATACAAGGTTAGGATTAAAATTAGGATTTAAAATAAATTTCAAATAAATACATACATGTAGCAGGTCATCTTTAGAAAGAATTGATCGGCAAATGAGATTTGAAAGAACATTGCATCACACTAACCCCACGAAAATATTGTGATTTACAGTATATGGAGAGTTAAAATACCGTAATTATTCCAGTCTCTTATTCTTTCGTATCATTAGAACAGATAGTGTGTATATTGGGATGTTGCTGTGGAATCATTATTTCCATAGAAATTCAGAAACTAGTGAGTTAAATCAAGTACTTATAAACTATTTAAAACGCGTAAGGCCTATACAGAAAAGATTTCAGTCAATCTTCTAATATAAAGCAAGTACCCATGATAAGTTACAGCAAGATAAATGTTTTACAACATATTATGCCATCTTTGTTTTCTTCTTAACCATGTATTAAAAAACCAAGATAAAATAGCTTCAATGTTTCACAAATATTTACAGTTTGTGTTTACATTGTAGCTACCTTTGGTAAAGATTGAGTTTAAACTGATGAATTGGTAATAATTCACAATCCGGTGTAAAGGTTCGCAGGTAGGTTAAGGTTACAACCAAATATTTCTTGCCTATATGATATGACGTCATAGTAAGCTATATGACATGAAGTTTAGAGATAACAATTTCTTATAATTGATATCTAAGATAGATTTGAGGTCGTAAAAATTAATCAAAATATGCATAGGCATAATACAAACAGAATTTTGTCGTTTCTGGATCTCTGTAGTTATCACAGGGGTTAAATACCAAACCCGTGACGTCATAACTGTTGATCATGCAATAGCAGAGTGTAAGTGAAACGTAACGAGAATTCATGTAAACAAACACAAGAAATCGGAGTTTAAAAGCATTTAGAATGAATATCATGTGTGCTTCATGTGGGAATATAGCTTATGAACAAGGTATGGTAATATACTTCAACAATTTCTTCGTAAAATTAAAACAGGGAGGGTGTTTACTTGCCGATCAGCCTTTCCTCTGTCGTTCGTAACAAATAAGATGCAAAAGTTCAACACTACGCAGCACACTTTGAAACTTAATTTTTGTTTCTATCTAAAGATCTTATTGTATTGTTTTAGGAAAGTGCTGCTAGAATCGTATGGTTAACGGGATTAATGCATTTTTCCGATGTTATGAACAAAATGTAAAAGTTTTCGGAAGGTTTCGTCAGAAAGTGTTGAATAATTATTTCTGTGATAGGACAGTAGGATTCTAGCAGCACTTTTCATGGTACAGAGATGTTTTTCCATAATTATTATTACAAATTGAAATTAATTATCCCCGGGGTAGTGTTGAACTTTTCACTTTTTCATTAAGGCATATTTTCTAATTATAGACGTCACGTGGTGACGTCGTGGTGAAGTGCTTCATGTAGTATAAGTCCCATTGAAGTCTATACAATGCATAATTATAACAAAAGTTTTATGCTTGACTTTTCCGATTTATTAGTGTTACATAATTATTAAAAAAAGTCTTAATTCGCAGAATTTTGGTCCATGTGCTGCCTTAACATACTCGCGTTTCTTTAAATACATTTGAAATGAGAAGACACATAATACTGAAACAGCAATTTTGTTAATATGTAAAATATTTTTCACCAAATTACACAAAACTTCAGTAAAACATATACTAGCGTCATCTGTTTTGTTAAGGTGTTTAATTACATATACACTGAGTAGTACATTTTTAGAATCTCTCTGTATAAATGAAGTATTGAAAACCAACTTTTATTTATATGCGAGAAATTTTCGCAAGGTTAACGAGAGAGACGTCATCCTGAATATTTGTCGCCTCGGCCCGGTCCTTAGAGTCTCTGTGTCTAATTAGAACATATTAAAAAGTCTTGATCGCAAAAACTTATCATCACAAATAAAGTTATCGGGAATAAAAGTTGGTTTACAGTACTTCGTGTGTGTTTTATTAACCCATTAGGAAAGAAACCCTTATATCAGCCTTTATTTACTTGCACATTATGTAATAATATACAAATTCTGGGCCATTTGTATAAACATAATTTGTCCCACAGCCACACTTCATCCACAGAATCTTATTTAACATTCTTTAGCTGTTCAAAAATATTTTCAATACGATAGATGACTGAGAGAAAACGCGATATCTCATTTCAGCAACATTCAACACATTATTCACTCGCAAATTTCTGGCTGAAATATTGCCGTTTCGGCGTAAAACATTAATCACTCAATCAATCAATCACATTATTCAGTATTCTAAAAAATTATATAGTAGATTTTGAACCTGCTAAATGATACACAAAGCAAAAGACATAAAAAATAAAGATACACTTCAAATTTTCTGTTTTAAAAATACTAATTAACATTCTGTTACCTTTCTAGATGGTCATTGGTATTTATGTATCAAAAGAATTGTATATTAACAAAAGTGTGTTTTTTAAGTGCATTAAAATCTGATTTGAAAAAGTTTTCCCTTTGGAGTACACGTGTGCTAATAAATTCAATCTTTTTTGCAATAGAGTCGCTTTTGTTAAAAATTGAATATTGATGGTCTTCAGAACACCTGAATAGTTTTTGTTTTGTAGAGAATAAAGAATCAGGTTATTTAAATCACCTAAATTGATTGAAATAAGTCGTTTAAAGAAATCTAAAACAAATAAAACTTTTGCATTGACACAGCTTATAAGAATAACAAAATCAATGTTCCCACTCTCCTAAAGCATGTTTTAGCTTTAGTAATATATTATATAAGTGTAAATTTTACCAAGACGCAAATTTAGTGATTATTCCTTTAAAATCGGTAATTCATTTTCAAAGAGAGGTAATCCTAATGAATTTAAAATGCCTCACTGAAAAAAAACTTACACAATTAAATACAACTAATATAAAACAATACTCAATTTTTTTTGCGATCTTAGAATCCTCTTTCATAATATCAAAATAAAATCCTTAATTGCTAAAAAAAGTCTGCTTATACGGTATTAGGATTCCAAACAAACATTGAGCCTGGAGAAAGATCTTTCTGTATTGAGAATGCTCAAGGTTTCGTCAAAGGTCAACATGTCGAAAAAATTATTTTTGCAAAATCTCCAAAAGCCTGTGGTTGATAAAATTAAAACTTTTACAATTTATAAATATATTATTGTTTAACAGATAGAAAGTATCACTTGATAACAAATACTTGGAATTTTTTAATATAAATATTTATCAAGAAAAATTCTTTTTAAAAAAAGTATTTTTTATTACAACAAAATAATGCCGCCCATTTAGAGAAAACCATCATTGCAGAAAAAAATATATCTATCAATGAAGGGCAAGTTGGACCTCGACAGCTTCTGGTAAGTTCTTATCTTTGTTTATTTTGCCCAAGTAGTAAGACTTCAAACCGAAAGTACAATGCAAATGGCCGATATAATAGGAGTTTTGTATTTATACATTTTATGCTTTCAATAATAGCCTTTCAGAGACCATTCACGTCCAATTTGCCTTCATTAATTAACAGCTATAATTTCTGTAATGATTGTTTTCATTAAAAGAACAGAATTGTGAAGGTGCATATATATTTCTTTAGATATGCACATTTTTTGACATTTTATTTTCTGAAAAAAAAAACACATTTTTTAATATGTATTTTCAAGTAATACTTTCTATCAGTTAATCAGTGACATTTTCCTTATATTAAATAGATCAAGAATTAAACAAGTTACCAAGTTTTATGTAAAAAAAAGTACCTGCTTCATCAATATTAAGACGTCAACATATACAAATATCCATCCATGCATCTAAACATCAAATCGGATATTTGTCAATAACATTTCCTGAAATTTTTAAGAAAGAAACGTGATTGAAAGATTTTTTAAAAATTGTTTGCTACAAAATTTGTGTACCTTTCTCATTTGTTTCTTTTAAGGATCCAGGGGAAGTAGAGGGAATTTGAGATATCCCGATCTCGATCAAATTCATATTCTAGCTAACCTAACTAATATAGCAGCAATCACGTTTTCTTCATAAAATAAGCGCATCTATATTCTTTAAATTTATAAATGCTATTACACAATATGAAATAGGAGCAGAACAAACATGGACCTCCAAAACATTAGAGGTAAGATCAGGTACCTGGGGCATAAAAATGGGAAAGCAATTAATATCAGTATAAGTTATGAATATGTCTAATAAATTTAAAAATAAAATGTGCAGATTTACTACTGAAATCATCACGTCAACGAAATCAAAGGAAAATTTTAATAAAGTTATAATTAAACTTGCTAATTGTCATTTAATGACTATGGTAATTCGTTAGAATATCAAAATTCAAAGTGGTGCCTTACATTTTTACCATATACATGTAGTTTTCAAACGTGTGAGCTTTGATAAATATATGTTAAACGAACTCTTTTGCAATAAAAGGCCCGGCTGAATTAGCATAATGTTCGTTATTCTTAGCATTTGTACCATTTGTAACAGGAAAGGAGAAAATGTACCGCTGGACCGGGAATCGAACCCGGGACCCCTGTACCTCTAGTCAGATGCTCTATTAACTGAGCTATCTAGGCCGATACATGTACCCACGGTCCAAACCATTACATTCCTCCCTCCTTAAATGGTCTCCGCCCTCGAAGACACAACCCAAGTTCTTATTGCCCCTGGCAGGACTTTCACCTGCAATTCCAGGGGTGGTCAACGGCACCAAATCTTTTATAGGAAAATGTATGGCTGTACTCGGGTTCGAATCCCGGTCTGGTCCGATGCATTTTCTCCTCTCCCGTTACACAGTAGAATTAAGGGTTTTTTCTCACATGCATTTTTTATGATAGAAGTTTTGGTTGTGTTTAGTGAAAACAATGCATGTACTCATTAAGGTTGCCAGAAATATTTTGTCTACATTCATACTTATACACTAATTCCAACCATTGCTTTTCAATAAAAGTACAATAAAAAAAGCAACAAACCATTTCGACATATCAACGCTACATAGAAGCTTTATTGTACAATGTACATGTTACATACATAATATGAAAATCAATTCTTATAAACATGTAAATCGTGATGTTGGAAGGAATAAATAAATATAAAATTTAAACTTTCATCGTGCTCTACATATCGTCCTAAACTGGTACTTAAACCATCATTCACCTTTTATATAGTCTTGCTAACGAAACAGGATTTTAAGAATTAAGTGATATTTACCTGTGTTCGAATAAAAATCTTGCAATTCCGATAAGTAATTCATTATCACACCAATTTCAAGTATATTTTGATTTTTTTTTTATTTCAGTCGGTGCTCAAACAAAAGGAGCCAGATTTTATCCCTTAATCGCTACAAACTAAAACTTTATACTTTGTGTATGTCAAAATAAAAAGTAAGAGGGATTACACAAGTGTTATACATATTATGTAAACAGTGCTGGGATTTTTAAAACCTTGATGTACAATGTAGTACAATGTAAGTACTGGTATTACGCAGGAAAGTTTCCTTCAGTATCGAGAGTTCATCCACTATCAAAAATATAGAAACTAACAAAAAATAGAAAAGCATTTAAAATTAAATATCGGTAAATGATGTTGATAAATAATTTTTATGGTTGCAAGTTTTTGAACAATAGTGTTATTTAAAAAATGTTACAAATATACATTAGAAAGATAAAAATTCAGGCTTTAAGAACTTTTTTTTTTTAGAAATTTCTTTTGAAGTCTCACATCAATGCGAAAGATTATCAATTAAAAAACACATCAAAACGCAATGATCTCCACAAAGCATTTGAAGTACAATAAAGCATCATTTACTGTCTTTAATTTTAAAGATGTAGCCGACAAAATTGAATGAATTGCAAAAATATCGCATGTGCATGTTTGTATTTGGAATTGCGTGGAATAAAAAAAATGTGTGCATAAAGCATGTTAAGAATAAAAGTAGTAAACACACCAATAGTTAAATTTACCTTTTCGTCTTTATAAATTGCGTTTGATATGTTTATTTTTTATTCTGTGCTATTCTTATTAATCTTTATTAAAAAAAAATCTTTAAAACTATTTTAACGTAGCAATGTAATATTTAGGTGTATTTTCTACAACCATTTATACAGACGAAAGGGTAAATTATGTCTAAATGCTAATAGGTATCTAGTGTAAATACGTCTTTTTACAATATGTTTTATTATATATTTTTTTGTTTGAAGTTTAGAAAGAACATAGACCCGGGCCATTCTATCTTAATATTAACATAAAAATAATCAGAAGTATTCTTTATTTCTAAAAATAGATTAAGGGAATTTCGTTTTTGGAAACAATGAACCTCATCAGCTTGTGTTTATCAACCAAACCAAGCAAAATTCTTTTTTCCAGTTCATAATTTGAACCAAAGTTATTAGACATTTGACTTTTTTTTTATTTCGCTATAAACAAATAAGATTTTTTAAACAAAAAATTATTTGCAGATAATTCATTTTTTCAGAAACTGAAGATACATGGTACATGTATGGAAGTGATTACACAATTTACATAAAGACTTGTTTGTTTTAGTTTCCATCTTTCACTTTCTTATGAACTGCAAATTTGTGAATTTTCAATTGTCTCTTCAATAAGTCTGTATTCAGGAGAGAACTCTATGAAATTTGTATTGCAAATATCAATCGGGCAGGTATAAGTGGTCAATATTCCGCCATTGACTCTGACCAAGACATTTCTTTCATCTATGATGTCCAATGACAACGTAAACTCCTCCGAAAATACTGCTTCTTCTGCATCAGTGACAACTTCTTGTTGCCAATTTTGATTTACAAACGAATTCAGAACTATAGTATATGATGGATGTCTTGGGTTGAAATGCAGAATGATATCGTTCCCTGCACCCATCTGCTGTCTAAAATTTATGGCCATTCCGCTGAAAAATAAATATTAGTATTACACATTGATGACGTTATGAAGAGAGGAAACATGGAGATAATGAACATTATTCTAAATAAAAAGTTCATAAAACAATACAAAATAGGAGAAGAGCAAACGAGGACCCCCAAAATATCAGAGGTGGGATCATGTGCCATTTGGGGGAGTGAGCAGCACCTGCCGACCGGTCACGGCTGCCGTGCGCTCATTATCGTGATCGGGAAATATCGGAAAGATCCCAGCATCAGTTCAGGTATGAATAATGGACTAACAATTAGTATGAAAACGGTCAATCAGCATTTGACTCAATGATAAATTATATTTGCTGGCAAGGTCAAAGTTTCAAAGATAGAACTTCCAAAATGGTGACATTAAACAAAACTGCTGATATTCTTGTTTCATCAACTTGTTTTTTCAATAATTTACCTCGTTTAGGAAATTGTTCAAAGACCAGGGTTCTCCATGAGCTGTTTTACTGTGTTGCTCCCGACACAGTAAAATTTTCTCCGACACAGTAACGATTCAAATTTCATGCATGCGACACAGTAAAAATTCTGCCGACACAGTGAGAGTTGTGATAATTAGAAAATCTAAACACACAAATTCTGTCTAACTGAAACTTTAATCAAACAATTCTACCGCTTTTCAATTCAAAAAGTTATAACACTTAATTACTAGGGCTTCACCTTGACCTCAATTATTTCGTAGACCCTCGCTGGACTTTACGCATGACGGAACAAAGACAAATAAATTGTTTTCACAACTCAACGTACCGGTTAATTGGTAGCTGCAATAAAATACATTGTATTACTTGTGAAAAATATTTAAATTTGTCTTTCCTGTAGAGCCACGGCTCTAGAATTATGTAAGCACTGTAAGTCAAACATGACATCGTTCCGAAGTCATTTTATTGATGTAAATAAATTGCCGAAAATTTTGAAATTCAGCATGCTTACTGTTCTGAGGATCCTTTTTTGTAATGCAGTAACTCGATCAAGAAACCTGATAAATAAACGCGGCAAATCTACTTTCACAAAAATGTTAAGTAGTTCGAATATCAGTCAGAATTTCCTCTTTTTTTCCAAACGTTTTTTCCGTTTATCAGTACATATGACCATACCATTTGTGTAACGAATTGGCGATATTTAAATAAGTGTGTGCTTATAATCTTTTGTAATTATAATGAATTTCGATTCAGTCACGAATTTGTTCGCGAAAATACCGCGAAATATTGGTGCTTCGCGTAAACTCTGCAACACAGTAAAATCTCAAATGATGGAGAACCCTGAAAGACTTACATAAACCATGCTCTTGCGTATTGATTCAACTGAGAAATATAAACTCCGTATGCAGATGATGAAAAAAGAGAGAAACTTACCCCGGTTTTCCATTTCCTCTCCTGTTATATCTCACCCTAAAGGCCATTCTCTGACCAACTGTTACTTGATATCCAATATGATCGAGAGTAACCTATTTAATCGGAAAATGTCTTTAAGATAAATCATATCAAATTTTAAGTAGAAACTATTTAACAAAACATTAAATAGTGATGATTTTTAAAGTTAAATAAAGATATTGAAGTATGAATTTTATTAGGGGTTGCAGAGGGTATACTTGTATTGATTTGATACGAACAAGACCTGCTCGAAATCGATCTAACCCGTCAAAGCAATTTTTGCTCTCATCAGTTCCAATAAAACTGCTGAACTCAACATTAAAGTAATTGTTGTAAAGCGCAGTTTAAAGTTTCTGGTACTTTTTTGAAACCCTTACGCAAATTTAATCTATCTTTTTTTAAGAAAAAAAGTAATTATGAGGTTAAAATTAAAGTCTGGGAAAAAAATAAAGAGTTATTGCAAATAAACGTAGTATTTTTGTACCCTTTAATCAGTTTGCCTGTATCAACTAATATTTTTGCTGCTGTCCATAGATTTATTACTGAAAAAAGATTTTAAACTGATTTGTAATTAACTTGTATCAAAAATATTATAAATATCATATTTTAATGTATTATTTGCATGACATATTGTTATATTTATGGAGAGGAACTTGATTAAGAATGGTTTCCACTATAATTTGTTTAAAATCAGTTGATTAAGAATGATACTAGAATTTTCAGAACTTGACTTTAAATATTTACGACTCTCTATTACAAAATGTGTGCATAAATTTAAATAAAAGAAAATAATAATAGAAATAGATATCTTAATTTCTTATTGTGTGTATCAAATGAATTAAGCTCATCAGATATTAAAAGAGACCTTGAACAAATGAGTTTATATGCAAAGCTTGCAATCTTTACTATCATGTTTGCAAACCAAAAAAAAGTCAGAAGATACTGACATATCCCATCCTTGAATCTTCTTCTTTTTCTTCTCTTTTGGGATTCTAAATGCTCTAGAGTCTAAATGAAAATATAAAACATTTTTTTAAAACTCTCATATGATTTTGAAAAGAGCCTCATTAAATCACCTTTAAGCAAGGGCATACAGTTACATGTAATACATTTTAACGATTTCTTGCATATAGAGAAAGGATATTTTACTTAACTTGAAAAGGGCTGCTGCTTTTTCTAAATCAAAAGCGTACACAAAATATTTGGTAAAGGTTTAACATATTTCGACATAAGTAAGTACTTTACTAATAAAATGCGAATTATATTTAAGGCAGAAGCACTTTTCAGGAAATACAAAAAATAAATAGCTTATATTTTTTATTTCAAATCGGGTATGTCGTTACAATATTGAATTTTGTTAATGACCTACGTTCAGTAAAAATACTCTGCATTTATCACGTGACTGTCCATGGATAAGACTATATATAATTCACTGTAGAGTGGGCTATTCTATGTTATTTTAATAAATATTTAAGTTATATGGTTATAAAACATCATATATTAAGAAAAAAATCATTATTAAAAAGTTTGTTTTTTTTCTTGTTCCGTTAAAGGTTAACAGTGCTGCAAAGTATTTCAATCTTTAATGCGCGATTATAACATTGATTTGATACATTTTATCCATTCTGATAAAGTTTCAACGTTTTCTTTTTTTATATCTGTCCTAGTGCTTGGCGAAATCCTCAAAAGATTCCATAATATTTATGAAATTATGAATTGTGGAATATATAAAGTTTTAAAAGTTTTGTCAACTTCTGGAGCCATGCATAACTAAAAATAGTTAGAGAGAACCACTCTTAAAAAAGTTGAGTTACAACCCTTTTATTATCAATTATATATTACGCATTTATTGTTTTTTTTCAAAAGAGCTTTTGTTCCTTACAGTAAAGAAAAAAGTAAATTTAGAACAATCACTATTTATCGTCTGACGGCTGATTGCTATTCCTAAAAGTAAAAAAGTAACGGTTTGCTTAAAAAGAAAATAACTAAATGAAAATTTACTTACCCAAAGCAGATTGAAATACTTTTAGTGAATCTCATGTGAACATATTTAAATATCCCTATTTGAAGGCGTGGCACAGAGATACCCAATCAAATTATCATTTATTTGAAAAAAAAAATGTAATCCTTGACGTACAAAAGAATCAACCAAATGCAAAGTTAGTTAAATTTGAATACGTATAAGATATGAAGTCACTCAATATTTTGTTTGATTCTTGGGAGTCTGCAAGAAAATAAAAGAAATTTCATATAAAATAATCAAATAAATCTTGATAAAAAAAATATTTTCCGAAACATTTAATGTTTTATCCATTTCTTCTTTCATATAAAATAAAAAAAAAGAAGAGAGGAAAGATGGACGTGCCACATGCAAGGTGATATAATTTTTCGTTTCTACCTAATTTTTTGAAAATGGAAAATTGAACTATTATAAAGTAATGAAGAGTATTGAAAACGAAAAGATTAGACTCGTTATTTTAGAGTAAAAATAAATCAAGGACAATTTAAGGTAACGACCGAATCTGGCCCTTATTTTATGTAAAAATCACAACACAGTTAAAACTGTGATAGTTTGTATAATTAAAAACTTAAAATAACGCCGGATAACTTGTACATATTACAGGACTGGTGTATCTTACTTCTTTATGGATTTCCAGGTAATAGAATTGCACAATGCATGTACTTACAAATCTGACATTCAATTTAATGAATTGTTTTAAGGAAGCTGGGAGGGGGTGTTCAAAAACTATTAATCAGATTTTTTTTTTTTTTTTTTTAGATATTTATCTTTAGTTTTCAGATATCATTTGACAAAGAAAAATCTCATACATTATATTTTTGAAATTTGATCATTTTTGTTTATCTTTATATGGAGCTCTTCTTCTAAAGAGATCAATATAGTCTAAAATGGCCACAACCCCCTAGCCCATTTAATGCACCAAAATATATTTTTATAACGCATTAAATTAAGTTATGGAAGTTATCTTTACATTATTTCCCTTGAAAACACCTTTAAGTGAAAAAAATATATATTGAATACGCAGCACAGTTAGAGAAACAGTAAGGAGGCTGTGCCTAATTTATACGGGAAATGTTTACTATGACATCACACAAAATACAAGAATTTCAAAATATCACGAAATGAAATTATTTCCGATTTCAAACTGCTGGAATAAGCTCTAGACTACATTAAGATTACTATTACAGTTTTGTCGTTTAATTATTATGTCCCACATAACATAAATAAATAACATAACATAACATAACATAAATATATAAGATTTATCGATTGCAAGGTACTTGTCAATGTAACGTCATCTCGTAAAGATGACGCACTTTATACACAGTGAGTACGAAAGCCCAGAAGGCTAATTCGAAATTCGAGTTTTGAGATTCAAGATCCAGACTAAACAATCAAACGCATGTTAAACATTTGATTACTCCCTTTAATTATCATTTTACTATAAAAAATCGTTTAATATATTCATATAAAATGAGTCATTTTATTAAATTACAATGCAAGAAAGACTGTTACATATATCCACTATCTCATGTTTTTAGAAATATTTTACAGTTAGTATATTTTTATAATAATTATCATTACATGTGACAATTGTTTTTATTTTCTGTAAGTAGGGATGGTTGGTTATCTCAATTTTTAACATAAGAAGACACTAACAGCAGTATTGGAAGTGAAAAAAACTCTATTTATTCAAGTAATACAAAAGTGATACAAAACAAAAATACAAATACTTAGAAGGTTTGAAGAGACTAGAAAAAGAAGTGTAAAGAAGACGGAGATTTTTTTTTTCGTCACATTATGCAATCCCCTCAAATTAACATTACATAAATCAGGCACTGTTATGTCATCAAAAATGGGTGGATTCGGGTTTCTTTTTTTCGACAAACTTTCCTCCAAAATTAATCTTTTTTTCCTTACCATGACGCACATTATACCCTGCCAGGATAATATTTATTTTAATTGGACTTATTGTCGTATTTGGCAGGTTTAAAGCCAATTTTGCAGAATGTTTAATAATTCAATGACATTTTACATTTAAGGAATATTTTTAAGTTTATGTGAATTATTTATGTGTATATTTCACAGACTTCTCATGTAGGCAAATTTCTTGAAGCGCGCTGGCCTTTTAGCCTTTAAATATATGCACTGTTAACGTTGTTTATTCCACGAAACTCGAGTATCATAGTCCTGAATAAACAGACATTGAGTCAGGAGAAAGGTCTATACTAGAATTTTGTATTACGAAAGAGCTAGCATTTTCTATTCGTTTTCTCTTTTTTTTAAGTACGAAATGAAAAATAAACACTGCAAATTCAGAAATTAGTTATTTCTTTTTTCATTTTCCTTTTCATTTTTTTCTTTTATTTTTTCTTTTCTTCCCAATTTACTTTAAAACAGATGTATAATATTTGCTTAATGTGTTTTCCAAAATATAGCCAAAGGATTGATTAATCAATAAATTTTCATTTTCATTTATTTTTTTTTAATGGACTAATCCTGGTTTTTTCACCAGTAAAACAATAGTGAATTTGTATAATTCCACAAGTCATTCAAAGGATTGGCAAACGAACTTAACACAAGACAAATTAAATATCTTACGGATTTTTTTTATTCTACAAAAAAAAAAAGAATATGTCTTAGATTTCAAACAAACTGTCTGGTAATTGGTAATATTGCCAATTACTTTTAATTAAGATGAGAACATATGGCACTATCTCAATACGTAATTTTACACAAGGACAAAGGCTTCAGGATCAACCAAAAAGGCCATATGTTATATGTAACTCCTTCTTTACTTTATGGTAGCGATACAAAGAAAATTTAGAAGAAACTCTTTTTAGGTACTCCAATCCTCAGGTTCTGAAAAACATGCATTGACTAAT